GTGCGGATTAGAATAGGCCTCCATTCCAGTAGGATCCAGCGCTCCGAGAGGCGCGTGGACAGGACGCACCCCCTAAGAAATGGGAGTACAGCTTCCCTCTACAAACATCCAACTAGGGCTAGGATGCCCAACGCATAGGGACGGAATCCCTAGGAGCCCTTAACAGCGCTGGTCTAGAGGGTCTGGCGGGGGTCTGGGCCCCAGGCCTCGGGCCTCCCCGGTGTGGGAGCCTCTTTTGGACACAGCACCTGCGCAGCCACGAGCCCAGGTGTGACACCTCTCCCTGGCGCTCTGCATCCGTCCGCTCCTCAACCAAGGCCCTTCCGATGTTAAGTCCCAGCCCCGCGGAGCCCGACTTCGCATTTTCCCGGAGCCCAAGGTGGGGGCTAGGACCCAACCCCTGGAGACGACCTGCCGGAGCGCGGGGGCGGAGCGGTGACGTCAGCGCCGCGAGCGAGGAGGCGCGGGCCGGGGTGACGGCAGCGCAGCCCTGGGGTGCCCGCGCGCACGCGCCCCTGCGTCAGCAGCGCGCGGGGGCGGTGGCCGGGCGGGGCCGAGGGGAGCTCACCTCTGGGCGCAGTGCGCCCTCTGCCGGCGCCCTTAGGGTTACAGCCAAGAGGTTCCCGTTGGACGCTTGCAGGAGCTGGACACTAATTCTACCTGGGATGCCGTCCCCGGTTCGCCGCCTGCACCTCCCACAGTCACAGCCTGTTCTATCCGGCCCTCGCCCCTTTGTTATTTTTATGTATTTGTTACCTCCTTTTTTTTTTGTTACTTCGTAATGTACTGCACAACTTATAAACTATGTTGAGCGCGTGCTAAGTCTCTTCAGTCGAGTCCGACTCTTTGCGACCCTATCGACTGTAGTCCACCAGGTTCCTCTGTCCACGGGATTCTCTTGGCAAGAATACTGGGACGGGTTGCCATGCCCTCCTCCAGGGGGTCTTCCCCACCCAAAGGTCGATCTCGCGTCTCCTGCATTGGCAGGCAGGTTCTTTACCACTATTGCCACCTCGGGAGCTCTTATTATTACGTTAATGTCTGCTAAACGCCCCCACCACCCCAAACTAGAGCAGGAATCTCGCTATTTCCTTGATGGCTCCCCAGCGCCTGACATCCAACGAGCGTCCCCCAAATCTTGAATTAAGTGTTTCCGTAACTTCTCCGCGCAGGCTTCTGGTCCTCAGGGTGCAGAGCCGTGTAACCGATCTCCCTCAAGGTACCACAGGGCTAGGAGCGCTCACCGGAAGGAAACTACAATTCCCAGCATGCCACGCGCCCAGGTGGTGCTTCTTCTTCAGCATCGCGCGCAGCGCGCCGGGAGTCGTAATTCGCGCGTGCGCTCTCGCCAGGATCTTTCTCCCAGAGGTCCTCTCGCGTCGTCCTCCTCGCCCTCCAGGCCGCTCGCGTTTAACAGGAGTCAGTTCGCCTCAGCGTTGCCTTCTGCTGTCCGCCAGCCATCATGCTGCCCGCTGCGTTGCTCCGCCGTCCGGGTTTGGGCCGCCTCGTACGCCAGGTCCGCGCCTACGCCGAGGCCGCCGCTGCTCAGGCCCCTGCGGCGGGTCCGGGACAGATGTCCTTCACCTTTGCCTCACCCACGCAGGTTCGGACGTCCGCGGTGCTCGGGACCCCATTCTGGACCCCTCCCCCATGTGGCCCAGGATCCGAGCCCCCAATCCTCAGGTCGGCGACTTCCACTCCAGACCCGCGCCCCTCCTCCGTGTGATCCGGGATGCGAACTCCCAACCCTCAGATCGGGGACCCGCGTTCCAGACCCTCGCCCTTCCTCCTTGTGGTCCGGGATCCGAGCCCCCAACCTTCAGGTCGGAGACCACCTCCATGCCGGACCTGTGGTCTGGGATCCGAGCCCCCAGTTCTCGGGTCGCCTGCCCTCAGCCCCTGTTTCGACATGCACCCGTCATCGCGGGGTTCACGACCTGAGCCCCTCGGCCCTTTGCAGAATTCAGTGTGTCCTCTCTGGCGGCTCGCTGGTGGTGATTTAACCGTATCTGCTTCCGCGAAGGCTAGGGTGTCGATTTCGTCCTCAAGTAGAGGAAGGTGCTGCACCCCTCCGAAACATTGGCCGCAGCGGAGCCGCCTGTGCCCCCCTCCCCTGCTGTCAGTCCTGTTCTAGCTATTTAACTACAGAGGACACCGAGGGGCTGGCCTTAGGTGACCCTTTCTTCACGTGTGTTCTCTAGGTGTTCTTCAACGGCGCCAACGTCCGCCAGGTGGACGTGCCCACGCAGACCGGCGCCTTCGGCATCCTTGCAGCCCATGTGCCCACATTGCAGGTCCTGCGGCCAGGCCTGGTTGTGGTCCACGCTGAGGATGGCACCACCTCCAAATACTTCGGTGAGTCGAGTGGGCACACAGAGAGTAGGGGACGTTCGTCTCAGCCGACTGTTTTCAGTCCTGTTTTCAGCTGGCTGCTTGAGAAAGGGCGCCAGGGACATAGACCGTCCCCATACTGGCAGTGGTCTAATTGTGGTTTGGGATGTAACCGCTCAGCAGTTGGGACTGACAGACTGGGGAAAGAGATCTAAGAGTGCTGCCTGGCAGGGGCCTTTTGGAGAAGGGGTCCTTGGTTCTGTAAAGGTCTTCCACAGCATGGCTCCTGTCCAGCACTGGAATTCAGCTGAGGATCACCCCAAACTTAACTCAGCTGCTGGGCAAAGAGCGGGGTCTCTGTCTCCATGTCCAACCCCCAATGGATGCACTTGATGGCCACCTGTCCACTTGTGTGCTGGGGCCTTTGAACCCTGGAGCCAGGTTGTAGGGTCAGCCTCCCAGCCTCACAGGGTCTGTGGGGCTGACTCTCAAGCTCCCTCTTCCTGCAGTGAGTAGTGGCTCTGTCACAGTGAATGCTGACTCCTCCGTGCAGTTACTGGCTGAGGAAGCCGTCACCTTGGACATGCTGGATCTGGGGGTGAGTGTCCCAGGGGAAGTTGGGGTTTGGTGGGAACAGGTGCCGGCTGATGTCCCTGCTCAGCCCTCACCCACCCCCACCCCCTGCAGGCAGCCAAAGCGAACCTGGAGAAGGCACAGTCGGAGCTGTTGGGGGCAGCAGACGAGGCCACTCGGGCTGAGATCCAAATCCGCATCGAGGCCAACGAGGCCTTGGTGAAGGCTCTGGAGTAGGCGGTGCCTGCCTCACACTGGTCCAGCCGGGAGACCGGGCCGGAGCTGGGCAAGGGTGGCCTGGCATGAAGACACAGCTCCCTGTGGGTGCAGGCTGACAGGGAGCGGGCCTGTGGGGAGCTGTCCTGTTAAAAAGCCACTAGGGGGCAGCACAGTGCCAGTTTCTGCCCAGAGCGCCTCTTGGGGCCCTGCCCCTTTATGCTAAATAAACCCAGGGAAATAACCCAGCTCTGGCAGGTCGGGTGGCTGGGGGCAAGTTGGGACACTTGCCCTGCCCGCAGGGAATGCTGTCCCCCTGGGGGAGTCTCCTGCCATCTGCACCACCACTCTGCCCCTGCAGTGTCTGCTGCAGGGACTGTTGCTCCTAGCCACCGCCAGCCGACAGCCTGCCCCCTGCCCAGCCTATATTAAAGACCTGGGATTCAACTTGTGTACGCTGATTTTATCCTGCTTGGTGGTGGGCTCCGGATCCAGCCCAGCGTCTCGCTGGCTTCCTGTGTCTGCCCACTGAGGTGGGGCGCTGAACGCCAGCTTCAGCTTTCCTGGGGCCGCAGGCTGTGTCCTGAAACGTCCTGAGTGTCTGCAGTAAGCTGGGGGAGGTAGGGGCACTGCTAGTAAAACCAGGCTGGGTTCTGGCCTTCACCCCGAGAGGGTGGGGACAGGCAAAGGTCACCAAGCTGGGTCTGGGGATGGTGGGCAGGGGTGTGGTTTGCCACTTGTGGGCTGGGCCTGGGCTGCCCAGCGGACAGCAGGGCTCCACCAGGTTCCAGACTGTGACGTGTGCCCCGCGGGCGCCCCGCCCAAGCTGCACTGGGAAGGGGCCGGCTCTGCCTGCTCCCACGAAGGCCCCGCCCTGTGTTCTCCTGGCCTGTGGGTGGCCCCAGCTGGCCGGGTGCCCAGTCCCTGGTGGTGTTGGCACCTCCGTGGCACCCCGGCCCCTAGAATGGCCCCGGATGGGTGGGGTGGTTGGGCGGGGGCAGTCCTGGCACCTGGAAGCTTCAGTGCTGTCCCACCTCCTTCAGCCAGTCACTCCTTTTTTTGCAACTGAGGGGTGTTCCTGGAGCTGGCTTCAGGTGGCCAGCAGGAGTTGCCTTGCCCCCTTCCTGGCCCTGGGTCTGAGCAGAGCTGGCAGGGGATTCCAGGGGAGTGAATGTGTGGGAGAGCTTGGGCCTCCCTGTGTGTCACTGGCAGCTAGAAGGTGACAGGCCACTCCAGGGCTCTTCATTGGTACGGATGGGCTGTTTGGTCTTGTGTCATGGTCCCGTGCAAATGACTGTCCCATGGCTATTTCTGAGGCTTGATGTCCTGGGAGCTGCCATGCCAGCTTGCAGCTCTGAAGAGGGCGTTTGTCCGGGCTTGATCCTTCTGGGCAGGTGAAGGCCAAGTGGCTGGCCCCCACTTGCCCAGGAACCCCCAGCTCAGATAAGGCTGGAACTGCCATGGGGGGCTCAGGTGCAGCCCTACACCCCCCCCACCCCCCGGCTTAGGGCACAGGTCCTCCAGTTCCTGGTCAGCTCCTTATCTGGTCTATAAATAAGAGTGAGAACATGGCAGGGGGCCTGCAGAAGGAGACCATCGCCGACCACTGAAGCAGCGGCCCTGACACCAGGGAACCTGCCTCTGGCCCCTCGCCCCAAGGCCACATTTTGGGACTGGGATACAGCCGGGCCCCACAGCGCAGAGCAGGCCCCCTGAGGGATGGGCAATGCTTGGAGCCTGGCCTGGGGACCTCTGCTGATAGACTACAGGGATGGCCAGCATAGGCCAGGTCCTGTCCTGGGGTCAGGGCACCCTGGGTGGGAGTGGGTGACAGGGCCAGGAACCAGGGACCATGACCCCCTACTGAGAGCGCAGACTAGATGGTGCTCATCTCCTTCCTGGGAAGGGATGCCCTCATACCTAGAGTGTGCTCGAAACCTGAGACCAGCAGCCAGGTGAGAGGGGTCTTCTGAGAAGGAGAGCCTGAAGCAGGCTGATCTGGCACGTTTAATCAACTTGGATTTGCAAAGCCAGGCAGGGGCTTGTCCCCTCCTGTGTGTGTGACCCTCAGGGGGCCCATGTCAGGACCAGCCCACTCCCCTGCAGGCAGAGGAACCCAGCCAGGTGAGATCAGAGACCTACCTGAGGTCTCCACAACACCCCCACCCAGTGCCACCTGCTGACTTGAGGGTCCCACCTGGCCTGCCTGCCCTGGTGCCCTACTGTGCTCAGATGCTGCAGCTTCAGAGCCCACGTACCCCATGCTGCCTCCCTGCTCTCCCTGGATGCAGGCCCAGGGCCTGGTCCCACACCTGACCTTGGGGCCCTCTTTTCAAGCCTCTTGTGCTTGGTGTGGAGTTGCTCCTCCCTGGAGCTCTTCTGTCTCTGGCAAGCTCTTGTCCATCCCTCAGGCGCAGCCTTGATCCTGTGGGACTGGGAGTGTCTGGGTGTGCCTGTGACAGGGTGGGGGGCAGAGGCTGGGGGGCCTTGGGTGGGAGCAGGATGAGGACTGGCTCCATCCTAGGAAGGAGCACAGCCCTGGGAGGGGCCCCAGGGCAAGGGTGGAGGTGGAGGTGGTTGGGTCAGATAAAGGGAGGCACAGATAAGTGGATGGGGGTATCCTGGGGTCCCCCTCTGGACAGAGAGGGAAGGAGGACGGAGAGGGAACTGTCCTCAGTCAGGGTCACCCTTAGAAAGCGTGACGACCTGCAGGGACAAAGCTACAGACAAACCAATGGCTGTATGCCCTTGGTTTCATCCCCTCTAAGATGGGTAGGGTGAGTACACCAGCAGCTAAGGCTGGACACCAGCAGGTAAGCTAACCTAATGGGCTGATGTCGATTGCCAGGCTTAGGTGAGGGCCCTGTATCCCTGGGGTTCCAGAGAGACCTGCCGTATTTTCTCACTCCATACCACAGGAGCTCACAAACGTCACTGCCCTCCAGAGTCACAGAGCCCAGCAGGTAGTGACAGATGCACAGGGCAGGACTGGAGCTGGTGAATCGCTCCATAAATACCCTCTGAGGTCACCGTTAAGGGATGCAGGAGGCCAGGGCAGCTGGCTGGGGCACCCCCACTGCAGGCAGGTGACAGGCCTGTTTTCCTGGACGCAGGCCGCTGACTCAGGCCCCCCTTTCCCGTTCCCTAATGCGGGCGCCCCCAAGCGGAAGCACCGAGCCTGGGGTAGCAGGAAAGGGGCGGGGCAGCAAATCCAGCAGTGCACCCCAAAACCCTATGGCGGGGGCCGGAGTGCGGGTGCCCTCAGTCGTCAGCTGCCGACCGTGACCCTTGATTAGTAGCAAACAAGGATGGCTACACCCCTCCCTGTTTAAAAGGGCGAAGCTTAGGGGGCGGGCGGCCCAGGCAGGACGGTGCCCCAAGGCCCTGGCCGACAGGCAGGGGCGGGGGCCGGCCTGCGTCACCGACCGCCCGGCCCCCCGCCCCCTGGCCGCCTAAACTCCACCCCGAGGGAAGGCGGTGCGGATAAAGGCTCGGGGGCCGCCCGCTCAGCCCCAGACCGGCTCCGCCACCGCGTACTCGTCCCGGACGTGGGTACACTCTGGACAGTTGGGACCTCGGACGATCCGCTCCTGGTGAGTGGGGGGCGGGACCTCGCTGGCCGAAGAAGAGGGTTCTCACTCTAGGCTCTTAAGGGTGCCCTACTTTTCTTTGTTCTTTGAGCAGACAGGGTTCAAGGTGTCTCCAACCCTGAGGAGCCCCTTGGGACGTGGAATGGGAAGGACTCGGCGCTGCCGGCAGAGCCCAGTCTGGACCTCTGCCCCCGCCCCGCCCCCGGGGCACTCCCACTCCCCGCGAGTGACCTTGAGTTAGTTTCCGTCCTGGCCTCTGTTTCTCCGACTGTGTAGCCCCAGTCTACTGACGCAGAGGCTTCACGCTCTTAGGCTCCCTTGACGCCCGCAGTCGCGTCTGACTGCCCCCTACCCCGGGCTGCATCGGCGCCCCCTGCCCGGGTCTCTGGGCAGCGCTCCCGGGCGGGGCCGGCAGAGGGCGCGCCAGCGCTGCTGACTCACCGCAGCCCCGAGCGGCGCGCGCGGGCGCAGCCGGGGACGCCGCGTCACGTCACGGCTCGGGCGGGCGCGACTCGGGAAGCGGGCCCGGCCCGCGGGACGGGGGTGGGACGCGAGGTGGCACAGGCGAGGGAGGGGCCGTCCGGCAGCGGCCACGTCACCGGGGTGCAGGCCCCGCCCGCAGCTCCACCCCTTGCAGGGGCTTCACGCTTCTCGGGAAAGGGGGCGCCGCAGGTCGACCCTGCCGCGAGTCCTTCAGCGGGGACCCAGCCACGAGGCGCAGGGATCGCGTCCCGCTTCCGCTTGCATAGGTTTCCCGGACAGGCCCAGGGGGAGGCCCCGGCTTCCTACTCTTTCAGCTTCGGGCCGCCGCCTTATCCCACGACAAACCACCCCAGCCCGGGGTCTCGGGCCCCGAGCGCCCCGCCGCCCGCCCTTTGTTGAGGGTCCCGGCCTTATGAATGGCTGCGGCGGGGCGGGGCGGGGGTGGGGGCGGGCCGGAGCGGAGTCGGCTCCGCCCCCGTCGCACTCCGTTTGGCCACCGGGTCGGGGGCGGGGCGAGAGGGCGGGCCCGCGCGGCCACGTGGGGCGGTGCCTCGGCGGCTCCCATTGGCCGGACCGCGCTGCCGACTGGGCCTTCGGCGCACGCTGATTGGTCGGCGCGGGCCGGTGGAGTAAGTAGTGAATGGGAGGGGGCGGCTGCCCCGCCCCTCGGAACGTTGATACATTATAACTTTTTTTTCTGTTACTTTCTCCCCCAGATCCTCTGGCGGCGGCGGCGGCGGCGGCTGTTGCTAAGGGAGGGGACGCGAGGGGAAGCACGGCCGGAGTAGCAGACATCCCTGAGCGCGGCTGGGTGAGCGGCGCCCCCTCCTCTGGGACCCTTCCCGGAGCCCGCCGCCCTGGAAAGGAATTGGGAGTGTAGTCCCCACCTAGGAAGGCGCGCGACCTCGGAGCTCCACTCGGATTTTTGATTTCTGATTCACCTTCCACTCGTGGAACCTTCTCCAAAGGGACGCTCGCTGCCCCCCGCTTCCAGGGACGCAGAGGAAACCAGTTTGGGATCTCTCTCCCAACCCGCTCTGCCCGGAGGCGCGGCGAGAATTGGCTGCGCCCCGCGGACCCCAGCCCCTCAGCGCGGGCCGGGGATGGAGCCGCAGCCCGGCGGCGCCCGGAGCTGCCGGCGCGGGGCCCCCGGCGGCGCCTGCGAGCTGAGCCCGACGGCCGAGACGGCGCCCATGAGCCTGGCCATCCACAGCACGACAGGCACCCGCTACGAGCTGTCGGTGCCCCCCGACGAGACGGTGGAAGGGCTGCGCAAGCGGCTGTCCCAACGCCTCAAAGTGCCCAAGGAGCGTCTGGCGCTGCTCCACAAAGACACGTAGGTACCGCGCGCCCCCAGCCCCCGCGCCGCCCCCTCGGGCCCCGGCCCCGGGGCGGGAACAAAGAGCGCGCCGCTCGGGGAAGGAAGGGGGCGGCCAGACGGGGGGCGGGGGCGGGGGCGCGCCGCGCGCTCTCGGGCGCCCTCTGCTCGGCCTGCGTGTCTCGGCCCCCTCCCCCGCCCGGGGTCGCTGCACAAAGGCGGTTGCGAGGGCTCCTCGGGTCGTTCTTAGGCGGCGTCGCCCACGGGAAGGCAGGAGTTCCGGGCGGAGTAGGGGTCCCAGCTGCGGGGGTGGGGGGCTCTGCGGCGGCCTCCTCTGCCTGCAACCCGCTGGCTTCCGCATCTGTTCAGCGGCCCCCTCTGCTTCTGACTGTTTCACCCCCCACTCGCGTCTCTCTGCCCCCCTTTGTTCTCGCCACCGAGCGCTCTCCGCAGTCTACCCCTCCCCCCTGCCATTTAAATCGCCTCCAGGCCGGGGAGCCCTCCCTCCGCGGGCCTCCGGGGACACGCAATGTCCATCCCCAGCGGAGGGGCCCGGTGGGGGAGGGGAGGGTGGGGGAGGGTCTCCTTTGTCTGAGCGGCGGCGGCTTGCGCCTGGGAGGGAGGGAGGGAGGAGGGGAGCCCGCCCGGCAAAGCCCCGAAAGGCTAAGCGCTTGGCCCGCAGGGACAGCCCAGGCCCGGGTGGTTGAATTACAAGGGGGCGGCCCCGGGGTGGGAGGAGGGTGCCAAGGGGCGCGCTGGGCCTGGATGGTGAAAAGGTGCCTTTCTGAGGCTTAGCTGGAGTGTCCCAGTGCAGAACTAGGGTGCCTTGGAATAAGGGGTCTGAACTGCCAGCATGGGACTCCCAGGGTCTGACCTCCACCCTTCACACAAACTCAGGGCCCTGGATCTGGAAACCAGGAAGGGGTGGGGGCGATGGACTCCTGTCTCTACCACATGAGCATAGCCCTCCCCCGCGGACTCTGCTTCCGAGTCCCTGCCTTGTCTCGGCGGTATAGCCTCACCCTCTTCCTTCCTCCCCTCTTCAGCCGGCTCAGTTCGGGGAAGCTGCAGGAGTTCGGCGTGGGGGATGGCAGCAAGCTGACGCTCGTGCCCACCGTGGAGGCGGGCCTCATGGTAAATGGCTGGGGCAGCGAGCCCCGAAGCCCCGCGTTAGCAGGCAGCCCCCTCCCCTGCAAGCACAGCCCCCAGCATTGACACAGAACCCCTTCCCTGCAGGGCTGCACACCCCACCCCACCCCACTCCACTCCATCCCACTCCTCCGTCAGGGCCCACCCTCAGGGTCTCCTCTTCCTTCCTCTCTCTGTAGTCTCAGGCCTCCAGGCCAGAACAGTCTGTGATGCAGGCCCTGGAGAGCTTGACGGAGACCCAGGTAAGATGCGCACCAGCGCCCTCCCAATCCCTGGGGGCAACCGGTGGAGTACCCGGCCACTCCGGAGAGCTTAGGGGTTGTTTGTGCTCCCGGGAGGCCTGTGGGAAGGGGAGGGGACGCGCCGCTCCGCCTTCGTGCCAGCTTGGCCTGGTCACCCAGCTTCCTCTTCCTCCTCCCCGCCCCCCCAGCACTCTCCACCTGACCTTGAGAGCCTTCTCTCCCACGGTGGCCGCCATGGGGGAGGGGGCCCAGCTTTCACAAGCCTGCCTGCGGGGTGACCTTGGCCCATGCTCTCACACCACTCCCACTCACCGGGGCCTGGGTCCGCAGCCCCACTGGCTTTGTCGTAGAGCTCCCCCTGGCCAGACTGTGGTTTCCCCAGAGCAACCTTTTTAACATTTCTGATGGGGGGGTGGTTCTGGGTGACATTCCTTCCGCCTTCTCTGACCCCATTGTGAGGGGTGGGGAGTCACCCCTACTCCTCCTTCCTCTGGCCTTTGTTCTCTGCCCCAAAAGGGGGAGGGGGTGGGGGCACCCAGCCCTGGGGCCAGCACAGCCCAGACAGGATGTTAGGAAAATATTTAGTAAGCGCGCGGGAGGGCGGTGAGGAGGAAGGCTGGGGCTGGCCCACACAGGGTTCCCGGTTTTGTTGCAGCTTTTTTTTTCCCCTCCTTTCCTCATTTTTCTGGCAGCGGGGCCCTCCTCCTAGGAGGGTGACACAGGCCTCAGCTATCCGCCTGCTGCCAGGGTGGGGGTGGCAAGTCCTCAGCCTCCCTGGCTGGGTTGGCCCCCGGCCTCAGAACCTGCTCAGCGGCTTCCCTTCCTCCTGCCCCGAGGCCCTCGCCCCCTCCCCGGCGTGCCGCGTCCTGCCCTCGCCAGCCGGCTAGCGCAGGGGAGGAGGAGGGGCCCTGGGAGCTGGGTGGTCCGCCATTGGGAGGGGCAGAGGAGTGGGGGGAGAGCCGGGAGCCAGCTGGGGGTGTGCTTTTTGGGGCAGATGTGACCTGAGCTCCCTGCTCCTGTGGAGGGGGGTGGTGCTGTGGTTGGCAGGGGGCCCCTGGGGCGTGTTGGGTTCACATCCGCCCCAGGGTGCCTGCGTCAGGAGGGAGTTGGGGAGGCGCTGGACGGAGTGACTGGGCTCCCAGCATTGCTTCCCTGCCTGGCACCAAGTCATGCCTGCCCCTTCGCCCTCCCCTGGGAGGAAGTTGCAGGGTGGAGTTGGGGGGGGGGCAGCCATTCTTACAAAGCCACCCAGGCCCTTTTTGCAAAGGGCATCTCGGGCTGGGGAGGGCACATGCAGAAGGGGCTGCGGGGAGTGGGGAGTGCGCTCTGTCCGCCTCCTTTGCCTCCTCCCCACGGCCCCCAAGCAGGGAAGGTTACACCAGCCTCTGCCAGCAGAGAGCAGGGAGGAGGTGGTTCTGAGTCATCCGGGCCTGTGTCATTTCTCAGAAACCTCCATCCCCCCCCCAACAATCCCGGCCCCTGGGGAGAGTGCAGTGCTGGCGGGCCCCCAGAGGAGGGGGCCAGTGCAGATAGGGGGATCTTATGGGCTCCTCGCCTGCTCCAAAGGGGTTGCCAGGTTGGAGATTCATGTTTGCATGGGCTGTATTGAGGCCTTGGGGGACTCAGGCCACAGTGAATGGTCAGGGCCCCCCCACTGCCGGCAGAGGCAACGCCTCCCCTTTAGCCTCAGCCCCGCCCAGGACAGATAAATATTTATCTTGAGAAAGCAAAGGTTAGGACAAGAATTTGTCCAGGAATTCCTCCCACTCGCTGCCCAAGTAGCTTAGCTGGGAGGGGGCCTGAGCCTAGCCCCTGCAGTGTGCAGGCAGAGAGAGGGTGGGGAGAGGTGTGAGCTGGGGGTTATTTGAGAGCAGAGATGCCGGCTGGGCCCCGCCCCCTCTGGCCTCGGTTTCCCCTTGAAAGAACCAAGTTGGCCAGGGTGGGCCAGGCCCCCGTCTCATCTGCCTCTGTCCCCCCACAGCCCCCAGCGGCTCCCGACCTGGGCCGGGCTGGCGGAGGCGGCTTCCGGAAATACCGATTCATTTTATTTAAGCATCCGTGGCACCGACAGGGACCCCAGAACCCACAGAGGGGCGGCGAGAGGCCCCAGGTCACACAGCGTGGGGGGCCGGGCTGGGCCGGGCTGGGGGCACTGCGGGCTAGGGCCCTAGGCTTGACGGGCCTCTCTCTGCAGGTCAGTGACTTCTTGTCAGGCCGTTCGCCGCTGACCCTGGCGCTGCGTGTGGGGGACCACATGATGTTTGTCCAGTTGCAGCTTGCAGCCCAGCATGCCCCACTGCAGCACCGTCACGTGCTGGCTGCTGCCGCCGCCGCTGCCACCCGTGGGGACCCCAGCATGACCACCACCCCTGTGTCCTCTCCCTGCCGGCCAGTGTCCAGTGCCGCCCGCGTCCCCCCAGTGCCCACCAGCCCTGCCCCCGCATCCTCACCTGTCACTGCCGGCTCTTTCCGCTCCCATTCAGCCTCTACCACCTGCCCTGAGGTGAGTCTGGGGAAGGGTGCAGCGGGAGGATGGCAGAGCTCCAGATATGTCTTCTGTATCCAAAATCCCATAGTTCTCCCCACAACCTGGGCTTGTGTGGTGTGGTGGGTGATCCCCTGGCCCTGAACCCCAGGGGTTACCCTCACACCCCAAGCTCACGTGCCCTCCTCCCCCATCAGCAGATGGACTGTTCCCCCGCTGCCAGCACCGGTGCCAGCCCCACGTCCCCCACTGGGGGCAGCCCCACCTCCCGCTCCCGCAAACCTGGCGCAGTCATCGAGAGCTTCGTGAACCACGCCCCAGGGGTCTTCTCAGGGACGTTCTCTGGTAGGTGTCAGAGTGTCCCCATGAGCAGTAACACACACTTAGGGATGAGACACTCCCCGGGGTCGCCACGCATGTGGCTGGCTATACAGCTGGCCACAGGTCCCCAATGGGGGGTGCAAGTGCCCAAGTCAGCCAGGGGTGTCCTCATCCATGTCTCCCCACAGGCACGCTGCACCCCAACTGCCAGGACAGCAGCGGGCGGCCGAGGCGGGACATCGGGACCATCCTGCAGATCCTCAATGACCTCCTAAGTGCCACACGGCACTACCAGGGCATGCCCCCATCACTCACACAGCTGCGTTGCCACGCCCAGTGCACCCCAGACCTCGGCCCCAAAACTACCTCCTGCGAGAAGCTGGCGGCCGCGGCCCCGGCCTCCCTGAGCCAGGCCCGCTTGTGCAAGCCCCCGGGTAAGTGTCCCCCTTGCACCCCCCCCTCAATGGGTCTCTCAAGGCCCCTCTGTGTGCCTCTTGCAGCAGCTGAGCCCCCGGTGGTGGGGAGGGGGCCGCCAGCTGCCGCTCACCCTGCTCTGCAGGCGCCTGTAGAGAAGGGAGTGTGTGTGTTGGGGCACACAGTGTCTTTGTGTCCTCCAGAGGGGGCTCCATCCGCACTTCCTCCTCACCCCCCTTGGGCACCTTCTCCAGATGGTGGGTGAAACCAATGTGAATGGCCCAGTCAGCCTGAGGGAGGGAGGGGGTCAGCTTCTCCTCCTGCTCAAGGGCAGCTTGCGCCCCCCTGCCCCCACAAAACTTGGTTATTCCGGACACATTCCGAGTCCTTCAGAATTGTGAAGTGGGCCCCTGAGACCGGGTCCTGAAGGGGAAACACATATAGCCTGAGCAGCTAGTGCTCATGACAGCTGAGTCACTAAAGGCTGTCTTGGGCCAGCCCTGCCCTCATGGAGCTGACAGCCCAGTTGATGGAAGGTTCAGTAGATATTCTTGCCTGGCTCCCTCGCTGGAGGGAGTGTCCTGGGTTGGGCCTGATATCCAGGGGCAGCTGCTGGGGATCCTTGCATTTGTTTGGGACTCTGGCCTCCAAGGGACCCTCAGAGTCACACCCACTGCGTCCTCTGTAGGGGACCGGCTGCGGCAGACAGAGAACCGAGCCACCCGCTGTAAGGTGGAGCGCCTGCAGCTGCTGCTCCAGCAGAAACGGCTCCGCAGAAAGGCCCGGCGTGATGCCCGCGGTCCCTATCACTGGCCACCGAGCCGCAAGGCCGGCCGCAGCGACAGCACCGGCAGTGGGGGAGGTGGCGGCCCCAGCGAGGCGGCCGGCTTGGGCCTCGACTTCGAGGACTCCGTCTGGAAGCCAGAAGTGAACCCCGACATCAAATCAGAGTTCGTGGTGGCCTAGGAACCCTGTCCCTCGCCCCAGCCCTGTGTGGCCACCAGTGTGGCCTCGAACGGGAGGGCAGGCTGTCTCTCGGTGCAGCAAGAGGCTCCCCCCTCCCAGTTCCGTGTCCTTCCGGTGGTTTTTTTTTTTTCTTTTTCTTTTTTAAAATTTCAATTCCTACCATGGTTTTCCGAACTCTCCGTGGACTTGGGTTCCTGCCTCCTTGATTCGGCTCACACTCCCCGCCCCTTCCTCCATTGCCTCATCCTCCCGACCTGCACTGGGTCCCTCCCGCCCACCTTCCCAAGCTCCAAATATGTAGCAGTCTTTCCAGATGGTTGAGAGAGAGCGGAGACTAGGAAGCCGCCCCCCCCTTCCGTTCTGCCTCCCTCCCCACTCCTTTCAGGTTTAAGTCAAAAACGTAGATGCCTCATTATGCACTTTACAGACAGGGGAGGGGGCCACGGAGAGGAGAGCCCCCACCGCAAACCCTGGCTCTGAAACCACCGGGTGAGGAACCCCGCGGTCAGGTGCGCGTCAACCGCGACCAAGCCCATGACTGCCAGGGATTGCTTCTCTTCCATGTTCGAACTCTTGTTCCTGATTTCCTTTTCCATGTTCCTTTTTCCTGGAAAAGAAAAGAAAAGCCGTTTCAGGGGAGAGGCTGGCCAGAGCCTGCCTTGGGGTGCAGGCTGGGGACCCTTTCCTGCCAGGAAAGGAAAGGGGGGGAGGAGCCTGCCGCCAGCCTTCGCCGCCGTCCACGCACTGTGCGTTTCCTCCCACCCCACCCCGTTTTTCTGCGCTTGGGGTATTTATAGACTATTAATTTTCTGACTGAGCCAATAGTGGTTGGGAATCTCTTGAAAAATAGGGAGAGAAATGGCTGGGGGGCGGGGCCGGGGTTGATGCCCCACCCCCGGCCCTTCTTCCCCACCCAACCTGAGGGATCTGGGCCTGTGGACTGTGTCTGGGGGGCCCTTCAGCAGCCAGGAGGGGCGGGGGTGCTGAGCTGTGAAACCCCCACTAGGGGCAAAGCTGTGTAGCATTAACCCCCCGTGGGGGGGGTTCGCTGCTGGTCTAATTTGGACCCCCCCCACTCACGCCCCTGTCCCAGGGGCATCCCCAGGGCAGAGGGGCAGACCTCCCCATTATTGGGGCCATTTCAGTGGGGGTGGAGTTATTTTTTCATTCATTTATTTTTTACTGATAATGGAGACGTTTGGGCCCTGCCCCCCACCTGTCAGTCTTGTCCTGGCCCCGCCCCTCTGCTGCGCAACACTCCCCCCCACCCTCTGCCTGCCCCTCCTTGTTAGATGAACCCCAGGTCCTCACCCTACCCCAGGTTATGTGTTAAAGTTAATGGTTTCAGATGTGAACATCTTGTGTTAACTGTAGCTCTGTACATTTTTTGTGGGGGGGGTGGGAGGGCAGGGGGGGTCAGAGGGGAGGGGTCAAGGATTTTGTTTTTATTTTCATTTTTCCAAAAAAAAAGAAAAAGGGGCGGGTTTGTTTTTGAAACGCTGTCTTGGATATCTATTTAATGTGTGTTCTGATGGTTTTTTTTTTTTTTTAACGATTTTTAAATAACAGTATGTGCCTCCGCTGGTCTGAGGGTGGAGGCCCCAGGCAGGAACTGTCCACCCTTTCTGCCCTTGGGAGGGCCCCTCCCCTCCCCAGAAAGCATTACCCACCTTGGGGGGGAGGTCGGTCTGTGGGGTGTCCCAGCACCTTGCGAGAGTTTCCTGTATGAAAACATGAGATTGGAAAAGAAGCCTACACAAACACGGTGACTTCAAGGAATAAACAGAAAATGAAACACAAGTGTACCTCCGGCCTGCTCACCTGGAGGGTGGAGTGGTTACTGAGGGCGTTTGAGTATGAGAGAGGGTGGTCTTTACCAGGAGGGCCACCAGGTCAGATGCTGGGGTAGCCCACCACCCCGGAGAGTGGGAGAGTGGAAGGGCTGCGGGGAGAGGGGCGCGTCCCATAACAGTTCCCACACTCCCTCCCCGCCCTGGGGTGAGGGTGGGCAGGAAGCTGTCTGGCAAGGGAGGGAGGGGCCCGGCCACTTCCCGGTACCCAAGGCCGGAAGTCTTGCAGGGTGTGGGCAAGGGGCTGCCCAAGGGCTGTGTGCCCTGGGTGGGGCCTCTCAGTTCTAAGTGGGCTGCAGGCGAGCCCAAAGACTTAGTCTCCAGGGAGACCTGGCCGCACACTCGGGGCCACGGGTTCCCTAGCCACAGAAAGGGGGAAGTAGTTACATCCGCCCGCCCACGCGTGGGGGGGTGGTGGGCAGCCTGAGGACCCCTGGCCCAAGCTCCACCCCTCGGGGGGTGGCGCCAGGCCTTCACGACACCCATCGCACCCAGAGTAAAGCCAGGGCCTAGGGCAGGCACTCAAGGCCCGTCAGTTTGGCTCCACCCTGGCCCTTAGTGGACTCCTTTAGGCCTGCCAAGCCTTGCATTCCAGCTCTCCCCAGCCCTGACCATTGCGATCAAGCCTCCAGGCCTTTGCTCGGTCCGTGCCCTACCCAGGAACACTCCTAGTGCCCCAGCTCTGGCTGGGAACTTCCCCAGCCTGCGTCTTCCACCACAGCCCACCTGGGGCTCCCTGAGGGCCGGGCCAGGTGGTAAGTCCCACCTTCATCCACTTTGGGGCTGGGCAGAGACACACCATAATACTGAAGGTCGTTTTACATGTATTTCCTCACTTAACTAAGAGAACTAATTATCCTCCCACTTGGTAGATGAGAGAACCCAGGCCCAGAGAGAAATACCATTTGGTCCAGAGCACTGAGGGTGTTTGTTAAATTAGTGACCACCATCCCTAGGCTCATTTCCTGTAGCCAAGACCCAGCCCTCTTAAGCCCCAGTTCCAGGAGCCCCACCCAAGGGGAAGGGAACAGGTGCAGTCCAGGAGTGTCCTGGGAGCACTTGCTAAGGCCCTTCTGCCCCTCCTGCCACCCAGTCACCCCTAAATCATCGCACAACCAAGCCGGGAAGGTAGGATGCCCGGGTCTACCTTATACCTTCAGACCTTAAGGTCAAAAGCGCAAATGTCCCCTCTGGTTCGGAGGACCACAAGATGGAGGTGGGGATGGGACAGTTAAGGTCGAACACCCTGCCCAGGCAGCCGGACCCCCGGAGATTAGGGCTGTGAACCAGCTGGCCACTGCAGGGCTGGGTAGGGGATAAGGAAGGAGGGTGTAGATCAAGGCACCCGCTGAATCACAGGAGCTGTGTCTGCACGGTGCAGGGCGGGGGGGCACTTGGTCTACTGCCGGGTACTCCTCAGGGCGCTGTCTGGCGCCCAACCCTGGGGTCCGAGGGTCACAGCCCTACCCGGGAGTCCTAGAACCCCACCCCGGGTTGGGACTGTGGCCCTTGGTCCCTTCCCGCTGTGCGGGCCTGAAACGCAAACGCCTGCGGGTGGGGGGGGGGGCGAGGAGGGAGAGGCGCCCAGCCGAAGGGGTGCAGCGACCTGAGAGGCGGCCGGTCAGGCCACGTGGGCGTGGGCAGCACAAAAAGGTAAATTGAGGCCCAGTGTAGGCAGGGGCTGCGGAATCACAGGAGGCGGGGACGGCCCTGCACCAACCAACCCCTCCTCTCAGGGAGGAAAAAGTTGAATGGGAGGGGGCGGCCCCCGGAAGCCCGCAGGGATGGAAACGCGGCTTCCATGGCAACGGGCCGCGAACCGAGCCTGACGTCACTGTGAGGCGGGTGCCCCGCCCGCCCCCGTCCTAGCGTTGAAAGGCTCAGGCCCCGCCTACTCTTGGGACGCCTCATTGGCGGCCACCTCGATCGCTGCTCTGCTCGTACCAATAGACGCGCGGGATTGCTGCCGGAGGCGGGACTGCGTCGTGGCCAGGCCGAGTGCGCAGGCGCGGCGCGGGGGCGTGTGGCCCCCCCCCCACCTCCTTTTCCCTCTGGCCGCACGTCCGCAGTTTGGGGGCGGGAGGCGCGCCGAGGGGTCTGACGACCGCTGCAGCTTTGAGATGGAAGAGGGGGGCGTACCTGAGGGTGCCGCACGTGGACCCCCGCACGGGCGCGATCGCGTGCACCCGCCTTTCAAGCCCGGCCATTGTCTGTTGTCTCTTCCCCCGACCCTGTGTGCGCGAGCTCCTGGCTAGGGGAGCGCAGGGCGGGAAGCGGGAGAAGGGCAGTTGGGCTAAGGCTCTGCCAAAAGAATAGGAGTTTGCCAACTACAGGAAAAGGGAAATGGTGCCCCCATGTTGGGGGCACGGCGTGCGCAGATGTCTGAAAACGTGAATGCGGGTGCATTTGGGAAACATCTGAAAGTCAGTTTGGGGGACCTAAAACAAAAGGCGACGGCAAAGACCCGACAGGAATGATTCCTCAAATCTGGCTTGGGGGCGATGAGATGGGGACCCCAAGGAGGAGGAGCAGGTGGAAGGAGCAGAGGCCGGAACATCCCAGGAGATGTCTGGTCTGGAGCTCTGCTTAGACAAGCCTGGGAAGGGACAGATGAGGCATTGTCTGAAGGGGGCCTCTGGTTCACAGCGAGATGTCTGGCAAGGGGGCTGCAGGGAGTTCGGAGGTTGGGGACCCAGGAAGGGTCATGGCGGCAGGAAGACCTCATCTCTGCCTGGCTATGCCTCAGTTTTGCTGTGACCAGTAGTCCACTCAGAGAAGGCAGCGATTAGTAGGAACAGGGTGACCTTTGCCAGGTGGGGAGATGTGAGCCAAAACCTCTGGTCCGAGGTTACCCCTGGGACTAGCTGGGGCGGACAGAGAGCCCCAACACTTAGATGGGGGTTGGCACTGGAGGTGTGGACAGGTGTGGCTGCCAAGGTGTGGAGTCCAGACAGAGGCCTGGATTCAGGTGCTGCCTCAGAGATGGGCCGTGTTTCTGGGGTGGTGAGGCAGCTGTGGGCGGGAAAGAGAAGGTCACTGGAGTCACGTATTTTTGTTCAAGGCCCGACAAGGCCTGAGTTCCCTGCGGGGCGGCCAAATGGATAACTGGGGCTAGCTGCACGGTTTTGAAATGCCAAACGACGCGGCATTGGGGTGGCTTGGGAGGAACGCTGAGAGAAGCCAGGTCCCTGGGGAGGTGAGGGTGAGTGGTGCCCTGCTGGGGCGCGCCAGCACCCCCAACACCGGGCGTGTGCCCCAGCACAGCCACCCTCGCCCAGGCCTGGCGGGAACGCCCTCCTCTCCAGACGCCCTGGGAATGGGAGTTGCCAAGCTACAGCCAAGGGTGCTAGGGCTCAATTCAGGAGTCTCCCCTCCAGCCCCACCCACGGCCGCCCCCACCGGGCCGGGCAGAGGACAAGGAGCCTCCGGTGTCACTCGGGACAGGTGAGCCGCCCAGCTCGCAGGTGGGGGCGGGGCCGCTGTCACCTGGGGCCCTTTCCCGACCGGAGCCTCTCCCAGCCCTGGCCTGCTGCCTCGGTTCCCCTCACCCACGTGTGCCTTTCCCCTCCTCCCTTTGAGTTCTCCTTTCCTGTGTCTTCCTGTTTCCCTTTCTTTCCGCCTTTCTTGGTTTCTGGGTCTGTCTGTGTTTCTGTCGGAGTCTCCCATCTCTCTCGGCGGTCTCCCTCTATTTTCGTCCATTCTCGGCCTCACCGGCTCCTCCTCCCGACCTCTCCCCCGCTTCCGCCCCCTCTTGGGGGCCCCCTCCCTCAACCCCGGCGTACATTCCAGCCTCCGCCCCCGCTTCGCCGCCCCTCCCTGGAGCCAGCTGCTGCAGTGGTGGGTTCCCGAGATACTGCGGGAAGGCTTGAGCTGGAGTCAGAGAGGTCGGGAGCCGGCGGGGGCTGGAGAGGGCACCCCCTAACTCCTCTGGAATGTGGGCTGGGCCGGCCCCACGAGGTCGGGAGAAGGAGGTCGCGAGCCCGCAGGCTGAGCCGGCCGGAGACGGCTGGCTACATCTGCCCTGTGCACGGCCCACACCCCGAACGCTACCCACGGGCCTCGAGGAGAATCAATCCAACCCCGGACGCCCACGCAGGGCCCCTTACTGCCACCAGACCAGACCAATCCGCCTCCCCGTCCCACACGCGTGCTGCACCCGCTCTGCAGTCCACGGGAGAGGCTTATCTCGCCTGTAGCACAGGGACCCCCATACGCAACGCCCCCCACAGTCCCAGACCTACCACAACCTACACTTATGGGTGCCACAACCTCAGTCAACTGTGTGACCCTCAGAACCTGCTCTCACCCAGGACCAAGACCTCCCTGACAAAAACCGCAGCATTGAAGGTCACATCAGGCAGCCCAAACTCAGACCCTCAGAGACGCTGCTCAGCGGAGGCGGCACCCAAACCCGGGGCGCCCCAGCCACAGACACTGCCTACGCACCCTTCCTCCTGCAGGCCCAGCCAAGCAAAGCGACCACTGGGGTGGGCAGGTGCAGGAGCGTAGGTGCACCGTCAGAAAAAGTTGGGCTTCCTCGTGCACTGCGGACCATCCCCTGAGCGGCCTAAGACCCAGAGGAAGAAGAGAAAAACGACCCTAGGAGCCACTCCAGGGTGAGACCTGGTTGCCTCGCTATGACTCTTGCTGACCCAGGGAAGTGTTGCTGTTGCACCCATTCTCAGCTGAGGTACCCCAGGCTCAAACAGAAGCCCAGACGCTGCCTGCCCTCACAGCTGGGCACCCAGGCAGTCGCTGACCCTTGAAGGAGGGATGGGGATGGGCGGCGGGCAGGACAAGTCCTGTGGGCACCTGTGTCTGCCAGCTTGGGTGTGGGGGCAGGGATGTGGAGGCTGCTATGTACGTCTGCTTGGACACACAGGTCACAGAGGTGTCTTTCCTGAGCCCTTGGCAGCTGCCCCAGGAGGGCGGGCTCTCTCCATGGTTGCCACTCCCAATGTTGCCATGGAAACTACAGCCCCAGTCAGGGGTCCTTTGTCCCCTCCAAGTGTCTGCAGTGAGCCTGTATATAGGGCCAAGGTCAACGGAATCCACGCTTCAGTGGGACGGCTCCTCCTACCTCTGCAGTGGGGCTGTGGACCACACAGCCCTGCCTGAGTCTCAGAAACCCAGGAGGTATTGCCTCCCCAGCATCCCAACCCAGGGAAGCTTTGGGGTTTCCATGAGCATGCAGTGGCTGCACTGGGCCAGCATTTCACACACACTTGATATGTCTCATGAGTGAATGCATGTATTGGTGTGGGCCTCCAGGTGTCCCCTGGGTCCCTTCACAGTCTGCCTGCAGTTGGTGGGGGTTGCAGTCACTAGCATGGTCCAGGAGCTGCCTGACCGTTGTATTCCTGGTATGAGGGACCCGGGCAGGAGCAGAAGAGAGACAGCCATCACATTCCTGGGCCATGAGTCACAGGGAGCTCCACCCAGGTGCCCGCCACGACCCCCTCCATCAGGAAGCCCCTTCCTAGGAACAGGAAGGAAGCAGAAGCTTTCCAGGCTGCAGTCAGCTAACTTCTGTACTCACCGTGGGCAGCCACCTGGGCTTCCTAGGGATCTCACATGTGCCCCCTACGCATGCAGGTGGGAAATGGGGGGCAGTTAACCTCTTCTTCCGGGCTTCTGGCCTCCTTCCTGTCACCCTCCTCTGCCCTAGAGGCCCTGGTTGCTGCTGACACAGCACAAGGCATGTGCCCACCCCAGGGTAATGAGTCACAACACGCCACCAGCCATGGGCACATATGATCTGGGAGTTCTGGTCCCCTGAGTCACGCACACCCAGCCCTTCTGGGCTGATTCCACATCCTGGTTTTGCACATATTTTGGGGTCTGTGCACAACCCCTCTGTTCTTGCACATAGAAAATGACCATGCAAACATGTTTCCATGTGTGCACACGCATGCACACACCTCCATGCCACTGCACATACACAAGAGTTCTGTGCACACACTTCCACACCCATGTGCACGGGCACACAGCACCACTTTCATGCTCACACAGGCATGGTCCTCAGATCCTGTTTCTCCATCTCTGCACCCACGGGTCCCTTGCCCAGAGGCACACATGTGCACCACACCTGGCAACATACACATACATCCAGTCCCCACTTCTCCCTCCCTGGCTCTGGGCCCCGGGGATCTGGGCCAGGCTAGCGGGCTGGAGTTTCTGCCCGGACCGTCCCACTTCCGCGCCCCCGCCAAGCGGCCGCCAGGTGCACCGGCCCGGCCCTCGCCTGGTCGGCCGGGAGGGGGCGGTAATTACGCGGCCCCGGGGTCTCTCCCCCTCCACGCGCCTTTCATCCCGGCCACGCCCGACCCGAGCCCAGACGCTCATTACCGCCTCCCGCCCGGTCATTAGCCGGGGTCGGGGGAGGACCCGGCGTCCGGCGGGCCGGGCCCAGCGGGGAGGCCTGGGGGTTCGGTGCGGGAGCGCAGCGGCCACGCCCCCGTCTCCGTGGCAACGCGAGTGGGTGAGATGTCCTGCCCCGAGGAAGTGGGGTGGTCTTCGGGCGGGCGCCTGTGGAGGAGCGTCTTGTGAGTGTGCAGTAGACCTTCGGCTTAATCCGCGTCCAGCCGGTCAGGCGGCAAGCCGCGCATCGCGGCCGCGAATAGCAGCTTCGCCCCCGCCCAAGGCTATTTTAAGCCCCCTCTCCCCGACCACCCCAAGCGCTCTGGCGGAGGAGTGGGATGGAGGGGGCCTGAGGGCAGGACGGGAACCCCCTCCCACGCCAATGCTCGTGGCAGTCGACTGGACCGCGAGGCGGGTCTGGGAGCCCCTGGCCAGGCTTACAACGAGGCCGAAGCGCCCCCTTGTGTCCTCGGGGAGAACGTGGAGCAGGGCCGAGGCAGGGAGCGAGGTGGTCCCAGCCCCCTACGACCACCCTCCCTACCCCGCCGCTCACGGGGACAAACAGTCCTTGTTACACACTGAGTCACAGGGACACGCCGGCAGCCAGGTACGGATACAGGTATCACACCTGAGACGCAAGCACACACTTCCCACACTGTGCCCGGGGCAGGCGCACCTGAGGACAGGTATCCACAGGTATAGGTCCACACTGCCGTGGGAACCCAGGACAGTCGTGGGTACTTACTCAGCCCTGTACCAAGCAACAGTCTCATAGTAAGTACACGCTGAATAACTGCTGGTGGAAAAATGAATGAACCAAGGTACTTCATAAAACCAGGAGAAGGCA